CGATAGGCCCATTGCCTCATGAGTTTTTTTGTGCGATGACCATTGTGGCTGCACACTTGATGAGTTCCGGTGGGGCTCGTTCGATCATGTTGGCTTCCTAGCATTTCATCTATTCTGGCGCTGAGAAATTTCGACTGTTCTGGGGTAAGCGGTCGTTGGTGGGTGTGTAGGTTGAAGGTTGCGTTCTTGGGGACATTAAGGTTGAGATATGCTCCCGGGATTGGAGTGATTTCTTTCAAGGATACGCAAAGTTTTTCGCTGGTTTCCGTATGAAGTCTTCTAGTTGCATGCATGTTCTTGTGAGAGGTCCTCACTGAAGGTGATCAATGACAGAATTTTTGCGACTTGTGCAGGGTTTCTGGCCATGTGTGTCTGGTGTAGATAGATTGGTTTTCGTTTGCCGTAACTCTGGCAATTCCCGGAATACTTCTTCCTGTGGGTGGTTTGCCTCTCGTCCAGTATGACGCCTATGCTCAGGTTTGCTGCTGCGGACATGCATTCTTCTGGTTCCGGTTCGGCTTGGTTTGTTCTGCTGTTGGTGAGTCGGACTCGTCTCCAGATTTGCTTAAGGCATTTCTTGTCTTGCTGCTCTGCGCTCATAGGCATGTGTCTCCATTGACCCATCGGTTGGTGCGTCGGGGTTTTTCCGTTAGCTTCGCTTTTCAATGATGTATGTTGGTCTGGGGCGACTTGCCTCAAGGGGGGTGTATTCTTACCCCCCGCTAAGATTGCTCGTTGTTTGATATCCATTGTTAAGCTTATCCCGTCTTCAACCTGTTGCATAGTGTGTGGGTGTGCGACTTGGTTCGTTAGCATTGTCGACTGTGAGTCGTTTGCTATCTTGATTGAATCGCTCGAGTAGTCATGTATGGCTCTGAAGGCTTGTAACATAGGCTTCCCAAACAGGAAGGCCCAGCCGCCTCCACTGTTGAAGACTTCGAACTGTCCTTTGGTGCGTACTCCATTGAGTTCGATGACTCCTGACCATTGCGCTTCTGAGGTGACTATGGTTCCGTTTGCCATCCGCAGGCGTTTCGTTGACGGGCCGAAGTTCTGTAGCTGTTACAGGGACTCTCAGACCCCTATTGTCTCCACCAAATGTCGCCGTCACAACCGCGTCACAACACATGACAGATGACATCACCGGCACGTGACTAAACTACAGAGCACAGCATGACAGCTGTTGGAGCATGACAACTCTAGACTGGACCTAGACCGGGATCAATAGAAGCCACACGCTTCTCCTTTATCGCCCCTACCAATACACCGGTAATGACTATTGTTTATCCTATCGCTTATCATGACAGATAGCGTTATCTGACTTGGACACCTACCACTGTGCCAGTACCATACCCTGGACCTTTACCATTGAACCGGTACTCTTATCTCTGAGTCCTTATGACTCACATAGACACTTACCTAGTTGGGACACTTTCTGGCTACCCAAGCCTACCCTGAACTCATAGGATGATACCTATATATACCCCAGTAGTTAGACCATGTATTTCTCTAACTTGATCTTCACTTGTGATATACGACTCTAGCTTCTTCTTTGAACCTTCAGTCAGTCATTCTGGATGAACAGCCTTCATTCAGTCTTCCATCGTCCCGGTGCTCCATGAAGCGGACACAGGATTGACCATATCAAGTGCACTGTTGGAAAGCCGGGCATTCCCGTAACAGTAGCCGGTGCTTGACTTTGTTGAATATTGATAAGCACATTGCGGGTACCATGGCGCCGTCATCAAAGAGTGCCAGTTCCTATTTGCGCCTTATTGAGTGATGCATGTCCTGCCGTGTACAAGTCAACCACGTCGGTCTCGTTTGTCGTCGGGGATACATGTGCATCAGGTGTAACTAAAGGTGCGCTTGGGATCTGGGGGCTCGTCTGAATCATCTGGTCCTCACATGGTGCCTCCGCGCATGCGAGGACCTCTGTCCTAATATGGGTCTCTGCTGTTCGTGGGGTCGGTGTGATGCCCTTATCTACACCGACCCATCCCCTCTTCCCTCACTCTGTTCTCCTCCTCCAAACTGCTCGTCTCCGTACGCATATACAAGTGAGATTGGCATGGTTGTGAAGCAATTAAAGGCACCCAAGACTCTACTCAAAACTGCTCTCCAAGCAGCTTCTTTCCTTTCCAGATGTGCTGTATCTCCTGGAGGAAGTACACAGTTATGGCTGGTAGCCCATTTCATGCGTGACCCATGCGTTCTCCCCCCACTTCGCATTCCATTGTACGATTTGGGCTGCATGTGCTGCGTGGCCTGCTGTGGTGTCTGGGTGGTGGGGGAAGGATGTGATGAGGAGCTTGATGTTCGTTCTCGTTTCATCTGTTATCATAATGGGTTGTTGTGGGGTTGGCTGGCGGTTGTACATAGGCTGTGCATTCTGTCGGTTCTGGGTCGCAGGTGTTCTCGTGTATCCACTACCGCCTGGGGGTGCTGTCTGGGGGTTTGGTGTGCTGACGGACATTCTGCTGAGTTGGATTTGGAGTGTGTTGACTGGGTTGGGTACTGGTGCTCATTGTCGGATGCGAGCTAGGTCTATCCTGAGGGCATTGAGCTCCTGCACTTGCCAGTTATGTTGCTCCTGTTTCTCTACCAAACTATTCCCCTTCAGCTCCGTAACTGCCTTTGTGAATTCCGCCCAGTCCTTGTATTCCTCGTCCTTAAGTAGGTCCTTGATGATGTCTGGTAACATGCTGCGCACTTGCCAGATCATTGATGTGCCCTGTGCGATTCCCGCATTTGTGGCTAGTTGTAATGTCTTCACTGCCCATGCAACGTGCATCCAGCATTCCTGGTCATATAGCATTGTCTTCTTCCCAACTTCTGTACTCTGCAGGGTGTGATCTAAAAGCTCCTTTTCATACTCTGCATTCATCTTTTCCACTACTTTGATCGGCGGCCAATGTGCTTTGAACACTGTGACAAATGTGGTCCATGTAGTTTTGCTTGTGACTGGGATGTTCTTGAACCATGTTTCAGCTTGGGAGCTGGTGCCTAGGTAATCTCCAAACACGTCTAGCTCGTCGGTGCTCACGGTCATGGACTGCTGTCTCATTGTACGGTTGAATGACTTCAAGAAGTCTGCTGGGTTCTCTGATGCACGGCCATCACTGTGGAAGATCTGCGGCGTCTCTGCAGGCATGTCATTCTTGGCTTGTGCGATTGCGAAGAATGTGGCTAAGTCGTAGTCTGGTGCTGCAGGGATAGGCTTGAGTGGCTCGATTTTTGTGTAGCGAGGTAGTGGTTGGAAATCGAGTGGAGGTAGCTGCAGGTCCAATTCTGGGACGTCTAGCTCAGGGAATGGGATGTTATTCTGGTCTTCATTTTCGAGGCTGCTGAGGGACGAGCTGTCTGAACGATATGGTGTGTTATGCGAAGACAATTCTGGTGTGTCAAGTGGGGAGGAAGTGGTGGATGTTTCCGTTGACCAGTTGGTTTTTGAGCGGATGTTGGTTATCGCAAATCCTGTTGGTGCTCTGGGTCTTAGGCTGCTAGGCATCAGTTTCCGATGGAAGTCCACATAAATAGTTGGAGTGAAACACAGCCCTTTTTTAATATATGCAGGTGTTTTGAGAACACCTGCCATCTAGCTTGGCCTTTTGGGCGTAATGTGACGTAATTAAGCTGCTCTTACTTGTGATAAGGTTGTTGGTGTTTCTGAGTCGAGGGTTCCGCGTTCTCTGATTGGCTGGTTGAGAACAAAGACTGCGACTAAAACTGCGGCTAAATGTTAATGCTGAGATGAACGTGGGTTGGTTCGAATTCGCTCTATCTACCACAATGGACAGGGTGGTCGGACTCGAGCTGTGATCTGGAGAGATGCCTTGCTCGGCGCGTGCGCTTCTGTGTTACTGACTAGCCCGACAACTTGTGCTACCCTGCTGACTTAAGCCTCGGAATGAGCCGCTCGGCTTCTCTTCTCCTATGCTGCGCCCTTGGGACCCCTACTCCACCGTGACATTGTAACCCTTCAAACATAAGCTGATTCACCCTGTGGATGGCACAAGTCAAGCCCCTCATCTGATGATCCAAATGTCTCAACAATTTCAAAATTTCGAGGGAGCTATGCACAGCATGCAGGTATGTGCAACTATTCTTTGTTGAAATCCATGTCAATCGTCCTTGCTCGTCTCAGCTCGGCCTAGAAAGATAGAACAGAGCGAATCTAGACGTACAAAACCGCAATGTTTCAATTTGACCTTTCCACCTCCGCAAAACCACCATCAGATGTATGGTTACTGTGTATCCGAGAAATGGGTTCGTAAGATGGCTCTTCGGTACGTCACAGAACTACATCCCGACCTTCACCCCGGCAGGGCCTGGAGCAATGCGGAGTCCTAGTCAAACCCCAGCTACAGCTTCAGACACAAATTCGGCATTCATTCGTTGGGTATGGGTTTGGCATTTCTACCTGCAGGACGGGTATTAATAATTCCAGCGGAATGTATGCACGATGGATGCGTTTGCTTGTTGTACATCTGCACTGATGACCCTTACGAATATCGTTGGCGCCCTATTCAGAAGCAGGCTGTTGAACTCTCGAAGCTGTTGGGGAGTGAGCCGCAGTGGTGGGTAGAGGATCTGCCAGCAAGCTTCTACGATGATTAATGGAGGAACCAATCGAGGGGACGTGCCATTTGGACTGGGCGAGTAGCAGACACTAGCATGAATCGTCTAAGTTGTATATATAATATAATCGTTTCACCTACATGTGGGCACTTGTTCCGTCGGATAGGCAGCAGAAATTTACCGCAGTCATGGTTGAGTGCCTTGCATTGTTCAGTAGTCGATGTAGGCGGAGTAAGTATTCACTTTGTCGATGGCACAAGTATCACCGAAGAAGGACTGATCACGAGCAAATTGAAGCCCCTGATCCCGTCCCATCCAGGTCACCCTCCTGCGATCACGAATAAAGTATTCAATTGGTTTGCCTAGAGTGATATACTCCCATCCGCATTAAGTTAAGATATATTCACAGCCCCGACCCTCACAACCCATCACGCACCATCGTCAACTCCCCCTCGAAAAGGCCCCAACAGGCCTCTGAATCGGCGCAATCCCAGGCGGAGGTTTCAACGGCGGGAACGATGATCTGAACCCACGCGCAGGCTCAAAAGGTAGGGCCTTACTCGATAACGTCGACGTCCCCGAAGTAGACGCGGCCGAACTAGTAGGGAGCATACCGCCACCAGCATGCGATGGAACAGAACTCGTCGAATGGGATGGAATAGAACTCGTTGAATGCGACAAAATAGATACTTTGGGATGCGAGAGCGATGAACTCGGAGAATGGGAGTACACAGAGCTGGATGCATGACTGCTTGCATAAGGGTTTGGGAGTCCCAATCCAGGAGGCGCACCGTCCCCGATTCGATATGCCGATGAGCGTGGTTGGTGTCTTCGATATTGAGGAGAGATTGGCTGCATCTGCAAGGGTCTCCCAATAGGTTGAGGGTACCCAACATCCACCTGCGCTTCAACCTCCTGTATCTCCTTCTCAATCTCCATGAGCGTCTTCTCCAAATCAATCAACACCGTCCCCTCCAACTTCTCCTGCCTCGCACAAAGCCTCTCCAACCTATGATCAGCGCTCCCGATCTCAGTTTTGACTCCCTCCACGCGTTTTCTCCGCTCTTCCTCCTTGGCCTCGCGTTCCCTGCGAGCTTTGGAAGCTTCTTTGCGTAGAGCTTCGCATTCTACCTCTTTTTCGCGGACTTGTTTGCGTAAGGAAGGGACTTCGCCCTCGAGTTCGTTTCTAGTCCTTTCTACGTCGTCTTTCCCCTCGCTAGCCCTGCGGACGGCATCTTCGAGCGCTCTGATGCGTTGCCTCGCTTTACTTTCTGCAGCACTAGCTTTCTCAGACGCTCGATTGAGAGCTTCGATCTCGGATTTGAGCGCTGCGTCTGCTTTTTGCGAGTCTCTGCGCGTGGATTTGAGGGTAGATGTTAGATCGCTGATGCGTGATTGGAGGGTTGAGAGGGTAGATTGGAGGTTAGGGAGACGGTCTTCTTGGGTGGGGGTTGTGGATCGCGATCTGGTTCGGGGTGTTTGGGGGTGTGCGTGGATGGGGGTTTGGTCTTGCGTCGTTGTTGATGATGACAAGGATAATGACGAAGAGGATGTTGATGAGGAAGAGGATGAAGATCGGAGGAGGAAACTAGTGCTAGTCCCTTCGTCCAATCTTCCATTCTCGATATTCTCCGCTTCTACACCAAAATAAGTGCCCACACATCGATGATCAAAAAGCACGAACCTTCAGTGACGACCTGCCTCCTTATACAACTCGCCTGTCCGCCCTGCACGAGCCCTAGATCGATATCATACTGGCGTCCAGGCATGAGCCCATATATGATGATGACTGCTTCGTCTGCGGGCTCGAGGAGGCGTATGAGAACGCGCTGCCATGGCGAGCCGTTGACAGATACTGAGAGACCTGCTGAGAGCGCGTCTGATATGATTCCTCGCGCGTTTAGGGCTTCTGTTTCTATATCTATATCTGCTTGTGTTTCTGGGTCTGCTTCGGTATCTAAATCTGAAGTTATTGGCGGCTGCTCAGAGGTGTTTTGTGAAGCGTCAGTTTCGTTCGGGGGTGGTTCAGATGTGGTGGTGGGTGGGGAGAGTGAGGAAGAAAGGATGAAAGTTGCTGATACTGAAGTGATTTCGCGGACTGAGAGGATGAGGTGGGGCGTCCAGGGACGGATGGTGTGCCATGAGCTGGAGGATGTGCTAGTTGGTTCGTCGGTGGTCATCGTTGCTGGTACCTAGGAACGTTGTTGTCGCTGATTTACATTTACAAATTTATTGATTGGTTCGGACTATAAATTTTGAGTAAGGCGAGGAGACTCACGCTGGGTCAAGATGATGGAGATTTAGGTATGCAGGCGATTATTCAGAATCGATGATATTTGTACTACCAGCTCCTCGGTCACTACACTACACTAACAAGTCAACCTACGTACTAGTTCGCGAAGACGGTATAGGCAGATCATAAGTGCGAACGAGTGAGTTCTGAGGCTTATACGCACGATCCCACAGTACTCACTCGTTGGCTTGCGGCGCTGCTGTTGAGGGGGTACATAGCATGCAGGTATGTGTTTATATACATCTCAATTGTTCTTGCTCAGCTAGATGAAATGGAGAAAGATAGACAGAATGATTCTGGACGTACCAAACCCACGCCAAGGTAATTACCAACCCCAGCTACAACTTCACAAAAACATTCCGCATTCATTCACTGGGTACGTGTCTGGCATTTCTACCTCCAGGACGGGTTCGTTCCAGCGGAATGCATGCATGGCAAATACGTTTATGTGTTATACATCTGTACCGACCAGTCCTATAATTGTTGTTGGCGCCCTACTCAAAAGCAGGTTGATGAACTCACTAAACCAGTGTGCAGAGAGCCGCAATGGTGGCTAGACCCACTGCCAGCAAGCTTCTACGTGTCATGAGAAACCAATTGCGGGGATGTGGTATTTGGACTGGGCGAAGTAGCAACAGGGAGCAACTTCGATGTAGCATGAATCACCTAAGGTGTTACGCCGAAGTATAATGCAGGCAAACAATAACCAATAAGACCAAAGGTCTATTGATACGTTCTAGACAACAGTCTAAAGAACATCCAAGTTCAAGTAAAGACTAAGTACCGAAGAGGTAACTTAGAGTCAAGTCAGATGTTCAGAGGAAAACCAGCGTAGGTTAAGCTGAAGAATCAGCGTCACCTAGCCAGGGTTTATATAGTATACTGGGTACAGGGTGTGACATAATAATAGGTATGTATCAGTAAGCACATGCGTAAGCAATGAGGTGTCTGAGTAATACCGAACTAAATATAGCATGATAAGAGACATGCGTAGTAAGTGTGGATCAAGGGAAAAAGAAGCACGATAAGCACAGCCGTAACATCACCCCCTTCTTACGTGGAAAGTCCCAGACTTTCACTCAAGACCATGACACCGATCGTCCTCAGTTCCTCCTAGTCCATCTAGGGCTTCAAAGAAACCTCTTTCCTCCATAAGGATCAACGTCAATTGTTGAAGCTTCTCTTTGATGTCTCATATGCTATAGTCGAGAGAGAAGAGCTCGTCTTCTCTGTACTCGGCATTGTGCCTTTCCAAGGTGTTCTCGAGACGATCTCCGAGTCGGTAGAGGTTGTAAAGGGCGTTAAGAGTGGGGTCTGTGTCGATGGTGTCTTTTATGGGGTTTTTGAAGAGCTTGGATGACAGCATAATCCTACAACGAAGTCTACAATCTTCAAGATCGGACAAGTAGGGGTCAGTCGCTTACTCTCCAAGGAGCTGCTCGTCGACGAGCTTGCAATACACTCACGGGTACGGATAGTGATGGGACTGGCAGGGGTATCGATAAATGTGGGTATGACTGGTTCGTTAAATATTTGATATGGGGACGATTGTCCTGACGGTGGTATGGGAGAAGTCGGACGAGGGGGTTCAGGAGAGTTCCTTTGACTGATAGTCATATAATGAGGACGTGGGGAGAAGACGGGGAATCTGAGGTTAGGAATTGGGACATTTGGCGCACTGTTGTGCGTGATAACAAGATTTATGTCCTCATCGCTAGAGGAGATGTAGTTACATCCACCGGTAGAGGGCATGGTCTGAATGGTTTAGTGATGATGGTTCGAGTTGAGAGGGGAATGAGTCGATGTGCCTGCTTATATCTGTTCAGGATTTCAGCAGAGTTGGCTAAATCAGACTCTGACAACCATTCATTATTGGCCGATGGGTAACCTTTCCATTTGACAAGGAAGCGTCTTCGTGAGAGAGTTCCCTTATGTCTAAGGATGGCTTCTACCTCGTGTTCTTCTTCTCCATCAATTAGATCAGGAGGTGGCGATGGGAAATTAGGACCGTGTTCTTCGTTCTCACGATAAGGGGTAAGAAGTGCTGTGTGGAATACCGGATGAACACGCCATTGGCTCGGGAGTTTTAGATGGTATGTGACTGGTCCGAGGACTTCTGAGATAACAAAAGGTCCTTCTCTCTTGGGTGCTAATTTCCTGTTGGGGTAATTGAGATGAAGGTTCTTTGCTTCTAGCCAAACCTTGTCGCCTTTCTTAAAGGGTGTGAATGATCGGGTGATTCTTTGCCTCATGGTTTGTCTGGCGAGTTTGTGTGAAGATAGGGCTTCTTCTTGAGCTTTCTGGAGTTCTGATATTCTCGCTTCGACGGCTGGGAGATCCGATTTCTCGGTAGCCAATGGTAATGCTTGAGGGTGATATCCCATCATGAGATAGAAGGGAGAAGTGTTTCGTGCGGAATGATGTCGGGAGTTGTGTACGAATTCTGCCATGGGAAGTTTCTCTGACCATGAGGTCTGATCATTCGCACAGAAGATGCGAAGGTACACTTCTAATTCTTGGTTTACTCGTTCGGTTTCTCCATCTGTTTGAGGGTGGAAGGCGGTAGAGAGTGCGATTTTATATCCGAGGAGTCGTCCTAGTTCTTGCGCGAACTTAGCTGCAAATTGAGGTCCTCTGTCAGAGATGATCTTATCATAGAGTCCAAAGCGTGTATAGACGCGGTTGAAGAATACGTCGGCGACTCCTTCTGCATCGATCGTCTTGTTGCAAGGCGTGAGCATCACCCCCTTCGTAAGCCCATGGTCTACCACGACCATGATAGAATCGAAACTGTTTGATGGAGGAAGGTCCACGATGAGGTCAACGGAGCATTGAGCAAAGGGGTGGGACAAAGTGGGGGCGGGAATAGGACAAAGTGGCGGTGCTGTAGGATGAGTGTTGACTTTATTCTGTTGGCAAACAGCACAACCTTCGACATATTTGCGAACGAAGGTGGGAAGGCCGGGCCACCAGTAGTCACAAGAGATGATTTCCTGGGTCTTAAAACGACTGGGGTGACCGGCAGTAGGGGAGTCGTGATGGAGGGAGATCAGTTCCTTCCGTAGAGGACCAGGGAGAACATAGTTTCGACCTTTGAAGGTGAGGATTGCATTGGAAAAGGTCCAATCGGAGAGTGCCGATTTCATAGGGAGGGGTAGGGAGGGATTAGAAAGGGCATCAATGGTTTGCTGGACTACGGGATCTACCAAGGAAGAAATACGAAGTTTTTCCTGCATGGAGCTGTGTTATGATCAGCGTTCACCAAATGGTAAAGGCCTAACACAACCACTAGGACTCGTCAAGGATAAAAGCAAAGATAGAATTGAGAGTGAACGTCTGAGTTTACACTGGGTAGAAACGAAGAGGTTAAGTCTAAAGAGAAACTACGTTAACTACCCTGTCTATATACATAACATTGAGTCGGAGATATCTGAGTCTGTAAGTAATCAGCCAATGAGAAAGAATCGTACGATAACTGCGGATGATGTAGTATGACGTCGTGATATATAAGCAATGATGTCAGAGACGGAGATTAAGTGACAGGAAGACATATGGTTCTAGCCCTGGGCGTAGGGGATCCGATCGGAGATGTGACTGATGAAATATGAAGTGGTGAAGGTGTGACATGGTGATGATGTGATAATGTGAAAGGTAATGGTGTCACGTGACCGGTTTGGGTATGGGACATAGCCGAAGGAAAACCGAGAAATAAAAAATGATTCGTGTTAGGAATTCGTGACATTACCCCCTCTCTAAGGTGAGCGTCCTCACGAACATAGGATGGTCAAATATTTTTTTGTCTCCATTCCAAGGAGCCAGGAGTTTGTAAGATTGGAATGATTGCACTTGCAATTCAACACGATTTGGGTGCATCGGGATTTGCCGCATAAAATTCGCTGACTAATCTTGGAGAATTTTTCAGATTTTCTTCGTTTTCCCATGTTGCTTCCTCCAATGGATATCCTTTCCACTTTGATAAGAATTGCAACTGGTTTCGCCGTACTCTGCTGGCTATTACTGCTTCTAATTCGTATTCTTGCATTCCTTCCACGATTTCAGGGGGTGGAAGTTCTGGTGCAGTGCAAGTTGTTAATGATGAGGTTTTATGAGTGGTGAGTAGTTCTACATGGAAAACCGGGTGGATTTGATAGGATTCCGGTAATTTCAACTTGTAGTTCAACTCGCCTACTCGTTTGAGTATTTCGAATGGACCAAGGCGGCGATCCGACAACTTTTGACTCGGTCGTCGTTGCCTGATGTTTCTAGCGTCTAGCCAAACCTTTTGTCCTACTTCGAAAATTGGTGCGTCTTTTACTCCTCGGTCATAGAAGTGTTTCATCCGATCATTGGTGATTTCTAGTGTTGCCTTCGCTTCTTCTTGTGCCTCCCTCATTTCGGTTACTCTCTGATCGGCTAGTGGAACAGTGTTAGAGGAATTAGGGGAGATGATGAATTTGGGATTATAGCCGTAGAGGCATTTGAAAAGGAGAGTGTCCGGTTAAAGTAATAGAGTTG